TATAATAATAATAATGGTAATAATTGATAATTATATAACAAATAATAATAAAAATAATAATAGTAATAATAATATTAATAATAATAACAATAATTGTAATAATTAATAAATATATAGCACATAACAATAATAATAATAGTTGTAATAATTAATAATTAAATAACAACAATTATAATTGTAATAATTGCAAAAGTTAATAATTATATAACAAATAATAATAATAATAATAATAATAATAATAATAATAATAATATTTGTAATAATTAACTAAACAACAAATATTACTAATATTTGTAATAATTAATAACTTAATAACAAATAATAATAATAATAATAATCATCATCATCATCATAAATAGTAATAATACTAATAATAACAATAATAATAATATTAATTGTAATAATTAATAATTATATAACAAATAATAATTGTAATAATCAATAAATAAATATCAAATAATAATAATAGTAGTAATATTAATAATAATACTACTAATAATAATAACAATAATAATAATTGTAATTATAATAATAATAACAATTTAATAATTATTAATTATATAACAAATAATAATATTAATAACAATAATAATAATAATTGTAATAATTATTAATTATATAACTAATAATAATAATAATAATAATAATAACAATAATAATAATAATAATATACTGTAATTTTTAATTCATTGTTAGCTTCATTTCATTTGCTCATCTTATACTGTATATCTGATTCTGAATTTAAAGAACATATCTTTAAATGGTGAAATACATGATTTAAAAATAATAATAACAATAGTATTGTGACAATATAAAGGAGTATAAAAGCAAAAGCAACGTGTTGAATAGCATATCCAGCCCCTTCAAGTATACTGACACATTTATTTTTGACTTCCTCCAGGAAAAGGCCGGTTCTTCCGTCTGCGTCTGCCCTCACTGAAGCTCCTGGGGGTCAGTAAACAGTCTCTCCCTCAGGACGACCCAGACTCAGTCATGGTGGACTCACCCAGAGCCAGCGACCAGAGGTAGAAACACAGTACATTCATTTAGTCACAGAAACATGCAACAATATTATAGTCATTTACAGTAAACACTGTTGTGCTTTTGAATCATCCCATAGTATAGTCTGTTTTCTTGGAGCTTCATATCACCACTAAAGTCACATGAACTGTTTTGGCATTGTTTTTGGTATTTATCTGGACTTTGAACCTGTTGGGACCATTGTAAACCCAGGCTCATTAGATATGTTTCCATGAATTGAGAAATTACATATAAACATCCTTGTACCTAAACAATTTTTCACCTACTTTTTCCAGTGATGACTCTGCGGCAGTGATGGATGTCCCGTCGCCTACCCAGCATGTCTGCAGTCCAGCCGATGCCAACGACACGCGGGCGCTGATCCGCTCCAGCAGCCAATCATCTCCGGTCAGCGTTCCTCTGGACCACTCATCCCCCAGACAGACGTGGCATCGGCCCGGAGCAGCTCAGACTCAGTCCAGCAGCTGTCTGGCGCAGGCCGTGTCCAGAGACAGTGTGTGCAGCCGCAGACGAGCCTCCTCCGTCCACGACATCGAAGGGTTGAGCGCAAACCACAAACGCCTCTACACAGACAGACACACCAGTGAAGGTGAGTGAGCCATCACAACATAGGTCTCAAACTTGATGCCTGGAGGGCTGCAACTATGCACAGTTTTGCTCAAACCTTGTAAAACACAACTGATCCAACTGATCAAGGTCTTCAAGACTACTACACTGTATCCAAAATTGCCTACTACTCAAGTAGGTACTACATTTGAATTTCAATTTACTACAAGACTGTCAGAAAAAAAGTATGTTCCATAAGGTATAAATGTATCTTATAGAACATCCGCCATTTGTCATTGTGACCTACCCACGTCAGTTGTGTTGATTCACTCCCATTCATAAATTTTCTCAAGTGGCATCATGGGGTACCGCAGCATCCATCAGATGCGCACTTCAGAAGGTCATCCGGGTGCTACTTGCGTACCGTTTTTTGAATTCTAAGAATCTGGACCAATGACTGTAAAAAATATGGACGACACGACAGCCCTTTTTCCCATTGAACGCCTTGAGGGCAAAACGCCTGCTTGACGGGCACAAACTGTCGCAAAAGACTGCTGAAATTGGAGCCTTGACATGCGCAGAAGGATTTTCTGATGGAGCCAGAGGAGGAGCCGCGAAAATGAGCAGAGTCGAGCTTCCAATCAAACGCTTTATGTAAAATCAACCACGCCCCCCGAACTTCTCAGCATGCGTTTGCTGTCATATCAACACAAATGGATGTAATAACGTTAACAAATATGAGGGTTTTATATATTCAATCGCGCCAGCTCCGGGCCGCAGCGCATAACCTACTCGCGGCGTCGCGGGCTGATTCCGGCTCGCATGCGGCAACGCCGGCTCGCTCGGCCGCCGCATCTGGCTCGATTGACTCGGGCTGGAATTGGGTAGTGAGTCCAGGCATCCGGAGTAGGTCCAGCAGAGGTAGCGTTAGTCAGTCTGAGCTCTAAGGGATAAGTCTCCGGCAGGCGAGAATCTAGCCGGAACTGTGTTTTGCTATCTGGGTGGTTAGGCGTGTATCAGCAAACTAATAAAGCCCGAAAAAAGCCCTGAACTTAGCGAATAAACAGTGTTCCACCAGGATCATGTATGTCAGAAACTATAGTTTACTGCTGAACTCATTTTGTCATGGTAAAATATCACAGAAATCGAATAATAACACTTCAGTCTACTTCAGTCTCCTGCCGAAGCTCAGACGCCGCGCTTTGAGAAACTGTCAATCACAGCCGTCAATCACGATGACACGCCCAGCATTAAATTACTGCTAAAAACAAACTGTTTACAAAAATGAAGATCTGCACCTATTTCAGCACAATAACCAGTGCCTTAATCGACCAGAACCATCTTTCGGGACATTTTATTGCAAGTGTAATATTTTTTTTTAGTTGGGCTCAAGTCTCCTTCATTAACACGGAGGAGGCGGGCTTTATGACTTGTACTGCAGCCAGCCCCCAGGGGGCGATCTAACGGCCGAGACCCTCACTCAAACGTAGGCTTGCGGCACACTTGATCTGGACATGCTACTTGGCTACATGAGCTGGGGTAGGATGGTTCTTGCTGGTCATGAGCTAAATTATGCTGGCTCTTGTTGGTTATGAGATGGATTTAGCTAGTTTAAACTGGTTCTTTCTGGTCACGATCTGTTTTAAGTTGGTTCTTTCTGTTCAGGAGCTGGTTCTAGCTGGTCATACGCTGGTTCAAGATGATTCCAGATGGTTAAGAACTAGTTTAAGATGGTTCTTGATGGTCATGAGCTGGATTTAGCAACTTTAAACTGGACATGAACTGGTTTAAGGTGGTTTGTGCTGGTCAAAATAAGTTTTGAGTTGGTTCTTGCTTTTCAGGAGCTGGTTTAAGCTGATTATTGTTGGTCATGAGCTGGATTAAGCTGGTTTAAACTGGTCATAAACTGAATTAAATTGGTTCTTTCTGGTCATGGTCTGTTTTAAGTTGGTTCTTGCTGTTCAGAAGCTGGTTTAAGCTGGTTCTAGCTGGTCATAAGCTGGTTTAAGATGATTCAAGATGTTTAAGAGCTAGTTTAAGCTTGCCATTAGCTGGGTTAAGCTGATTCTTGCTGGTTACAAGCTGGTTTAAACTGATTTAAGCAAGTCATGAGCTGGATCAAGCTGGTTCTTGCCTGTCATGAGCTGGTTTAGGCTGATTATTGTTGCTCATGAGCTGGATTTAGCAGGTTAAAACTGGCCATGAACTGGTTTAAGTTGGTTCATGCTGGTCATAAACTGAATTAAGTTGATTCTTTCTGGTCATGATCTGAAGTTGGTCATTTTATATTATATTTGTGATAAAGCTTATAAGAGTGTTATTTTATTGGAAAAACGAATCTAAGACTGTTATGATAAAGACTTGAGGGTTTTTAAAATCATATCTGATAATTATTCACATTTTAAACCAAATGAATATAAATTTAACAAACTCAGATCTAAAGCAATTTTCAGCTCTTCTGTTCAAGAGCTGGTTTAAGATGATTCTAGATGGTTACGAGCTGGTTTAAGCTAGCCATGAGCTGGATCAAGCTGATTCTTGGTTGTCATGAGTTGGTTTAAGATGATTCTTAATGGTCATGAGCTGGATTAAGCTGGTTCAAACTGGCCATGAACTGGTTTAAGTTGGTTCATGCTGGTCAAAATAAGTTTTGAGTTGATTCTTGCTGTTCGGGAGCTTGTTTAAGATAGTTATAGCTGGTCATAAGCTGCTTTAAGATAATTCTTGCTGGTTACGGACTGGTTTAAACTGGTTTAAGCCAGCCATAAGGTAGGTCAAGCTGATTCTTGCTAGTCATGAGCTGGTTTAAGTTGATTCTTGATGGCCATGAGCTGGATTAAGCTGCTTTAAATTGGCCATAAACTGGTTTAAGTTGGTTCATGCTGGTCATGAGCTGGATTAGCTTGGTTATTTCAGGTCACCATAAGATTTGAGTGTATTCTTGCTGTTCTGGAGCTGATTTAAGATAGTTTTAGCTGGTCATAAGCTGGTTTAATATGATTCTTGCCGGTTACAGGCTGATTTAAACTGGTTTAAGCTAGCCATGAACTTGATCAAGCCGGTTCTTGAAATTCTTTCTGGTCATGATCCGGTTTAGGATGGTTATTCTTGGTCAGGAGCTGCTTTAAGATGGTTCTAACTGGTCAAGAGCTGGTTTAAGCTTGTTCATGCTGGTCATGATCTGGTTTAAGATGGTTATTTTTGGTTATGAGCTACTTTGAGCTGGTTAGCTGGTCAGGTTGGACCTGGTTTAAGTTTGTTAGTTGGTGATGAGCTGGTTTAAATTGATTCTTTCTAGTCATGCAATGGTTTAAATTGGTTCTTGCTGGTCAAGACCAAGTTTGAGATGGTTATTTTTGGTCATGGGCTGGATTAAGCTTGTTTATGCTGCTAATTATCTGGTTTAAGTTGGTTCTTTTTGGTCATGATCTGGTTTAAGCTTGTTCCTGCAGGTAATTATCTGGTTTAAGTTGGTTCTTTTTGGTCATGATCTGGTTTAAGCTTGTTCCTGCAGGTAATTATCTGGTTTAAGTTGGTTCTTTCTGGTAATGATCTGGTTTAAGACAGTTCTTTTTTTATCAGGAGCTGGTTTAAGCTGGTTCTAGTGGGTAATGTGCCAGTTTAAGCGTATTCTTGCTGGTCATGATCTAGTTTTCGCTGTTTTTTGCTTGACATAAGCTGGTTTAATATGGTTCATGCTTGTCATGATCCAGTTTAAGCTGGTCATTTTGCATTATATTTGTAATAAAGCAAATAAGAGTGCTCTTTTAATGGGACACCAGAATCTAAGACTGTTATGATAAAGACATGAGGGTTTTTAAATTCATATCTGATAATTATGCACATTTTAAACCAAATGAATATGAAACTGGCTTTATAATTTAATGAACTCTAAAGCCATTTTCTGCTCCTGATATAAACCAAGTATTCCTCCAAAACAGTGCATGTGCAATTAATTAAGCCAGCCCTCATAATGCACATTAGTTTCTGCATTATTTGCGCGATTAATGGAGACAGGAATGTATAATTTTCCAGTATAGTGATTTCATTGCTTTCACTGATGAATGATAATCACATCCAGCAGCAAGAAATGGCCATTATAACGGCATCATGATAAATGACTTTCTCCCTGCCCATTCTGTTGATATTTTCAATTTACAGTCAGTATAAAGAGCCAAAATATGAAATTATCCCTCATCGGCTTTATGAGAAGCATGTGTGCTTTCATTTTTGACATCAACTTACCCAATGAAATGTTTCTGGGATTTCTGGGAATAAATCATAATCATCTCTGGCTGCTTTCTGCAGTCGACTAAAGAGGTCATTTAATATTTTCAAAGATCATTATATTGTTGTGTTTGTGTCTTTAAGTGTAAGGAAAGGTAATTTATGCATCCCAAGTTTTATAAAATCTTGTTTAAATATGGTAATGACGCATTAGTTAATTAAATATGCACTAATTTGCATGCATTTCCGGCACAAAGGTCTGAAAATTGCATGAAGTGGAGCTCAAAATTATTGTAGAATTTTTTTTGACATATTAGAGTCAAAGGTTTTAAGAGGGATTGTGGGAATGTCTATTGCTCCATAATTCAGAGGATGCTTCTAACTGTGAGAAAATTGTAATTAAAAGAAATCTCTATCTATAATGACCTCTCATAAGTAAAAATAAGACTTTTTAAAGGTCTGCCATAATCCTGTATTATCCAATGTTGTAAAATGTTTCTCAAATAAAAAATTATATAAGGGTGATTAGAGAATTGTGGTTACATTTACATTTTTTAAGATAAAACTTCTATTAATTTTTCAAAAATAAAAACTTTAAATGAAACATTCATATAGAGTAATAATATATCAATTATTAAATGGAAAAACTCACACTATACCTATTTTGGAAAGACTCTGCCTTCTGAATCAAACATTCAGCTCCAATTATCATGAAATAATTACTCCCAGGGCCATTTGTATTGAAGTTTGATATTTAGCCACACCAAATTGATGTTTCATAACATCTAATGTTTATGAGGTCGGTTGTTGGTCCAATGCTCAACCCCCAACCTGGAGCACCAGGACATACACATATACACTATGGACAATTAAGCTTACCCAATTCACCTGAACCGGAGCACCTGTCCATCAATTTGGTGGGCGGGGGGACCACACTTCTACGTTAAGTTGCGGTCGGTCTGAAAACTGCTCCAATTGTTCCACCGTTTTTATGTTGTTTCATTGAAAAAAAAAGGACTGTGTGTGTTTATATCACCCAATATGACGGTCCATACACTATACCAGTGGTCCCCAACCTTTTTCTAACTGTGGACCGGTCAACGCTTGACAGTTTTACTGCGGACCGGGGGGTTGAAATAATAACAAACGTGAATCCACTGTGTACTCATATGGAACTTTATTAACACATTGCTCCGACAATATAACATATCATAACATCAAAAACTGTCTGTAACGCTAAATCAATGGGAGCCCTGAGCTTGTTTCTTTGCAACGAGATGGTCCCATCTGGGAGTAATGGCAG